AGAAGAAAGCAAAACTGATGCAATTAAGATTTCAAAACAGAAATTTGGACTTTCCTATAATCTTAAGGACATGCATCAACAAGTCAGGGGAAGGTATGTCTGCATCTAAGGGCAGAGAACTGTAGGTTAAGTCCTAGTTCCACTGAATGCTTCAGGATTTGTTTATCTTCAAGGAGAGAATCATAGAATCTTTTTGGTTGGAAGAAACCTTTAAGATCATCGGGTTCAACCAAAAAAGGTTGCATGTCAAGGTCTGCAGAATACATGTCCTGCCTTAACAAGGAAAAAGTTTAAATTTTACACGCAAAGCTACAGCTCTAGTATAATGTTAGTGGATGAAATATCTCATTGCTGTCTTGGAAAGTTGAACATAAAATTGTGTATCAAAGATGCCAAGATTTAATTCCAGGCTGAATGTAAGAGGATGGAGTGGAATCTGGGAGGTTAGCAGTTGAAAAGCAGTAACTACTGTATGCCATGATTGTATTTCTGGGTAGAACACACCCATGTAGCTTATTAAGTAGGTTCGGTTTATTCATACAATAACAATAACTGGGGTTGGAGGCATTGTTTAAGAGTACTGTAACAGGTGTCCTGCTGCATCTACCTTTTTATGCTTGTTTGTAGTCTCCTCATTGCTCAAGCTATAAGCAAAGGAATGATGGAGAGACAGTGTCAGAGATAATATTTCAGTTCAGTGTATATTAAGGACTCTGGGTTTTGATTGTTGGCTTTTTATGAATAATATGATTCTTTCAGGCTTCCTGAAGTGTGAAAGATTTTGTGTTGTACTGAAACTTAACTCCAGTCCCTCTCACAAAGTGCAGGTTACTGTCTCTGCCCCAGTGTTGGTCTAGGTAAGATGCCAAGGAGGGCAATTGTGGTACAAGTGGAGTCTGTCAGAGCTCAGTCCCTTTTCAAAGGATGAAATACACTGTTGTTTTCCTACAGGGTAGTAAAACAGCTTGTTCCCAGCATGCAAGATGAATGCAAGGGTTTAGTAAATCTTTCAGTCCGTGAAATTAAAAAAAAACCCAAACCCTTAATAATCAGAACCAGGTATTTTGTAGTTGTGTGAACAGTAGTGATCAAAAAACACTTTATTCTTCTCCCAGATTACAGTGTATTCCTCTTCTTCTTGACATTTTTGTAGCACCCACAGCATTTCACTATAACTGTGCCCGATTTATAGGATCTCTAGTAAGAGAACTAAGTCCTGGACTAGCTATTTTACTTTGCTCTTACTGCAGTGTGCAGGGTAGGTGGGTTTTAAGCTGTGACTGTCCTATCTAGTGTTTAATCACTGCGGGTGTGGTTCAGTCAGTGTTTTGAGCCAACAGAAGGGGGAAATCCTGTCTCTGTATTACCATTCCTGCCCTCTTCCCTGTAGCAGTAGTAAAGTTTCTGGTCCTGTGGTTAAAAATTAACCCTTCCACACCCCTGAGTATATTAATTTCAAGTCTGATTGTTCCCTGATCTGCTTTGCTCCGTAGTCACCCCATTTCTTGTGCCTACACTAAGAGCAGTACATGAAAAAGTAAGAGAGAGAAGGGAGTGTAAAGCTGTGTCTTCTAGTTAACAGCACATACTTAGGTCCAGCATAAAATTACTGTTGCTTTGAGTGTTCATGGTCATTTAGAAACAAGAGTTGAATCTAGACCATCCCTAATCAACACTTCTGTAAAATGCGGGGAAACAGTATATTTTCAATGGGGAAACAAACCAAGTGACTTGGAGGCTGTTATGGAAGGGCTCAGTGAAGAGGCGTAGCTTGGTCTTGGATAAACAATGACTACATTCAGACAACATGAAACATGATGAAACAGTAACTTGTATACTGGCAAACTGTTGTAAATGGTCTTGATGCAAATTAAAATCTGCTTCAGCAGTGTCAAATTTATAACAGGGCGGAGCTGATGTTCAAAGTATTACCCTCGCATCATGTGAACTCCCTTTCTCCTGCTGCTAGCAGTGGGTCAGCTGTGATTTTCATCCTTTCCCCCTCTCATAGGTGGAATCATCGCAGGAAGCCAATGCTGAAGTCATGAGAGAGATGACGAGAAAACTGTATAGTCAGTATGAAGAAAAAATGCAGGAAGAGGAGCAGAAACATAAAGCTGAGAAAGAAATCCTCCTAGTATGTATGGCCAGTCTGTAAGAGTGCTGCTAAGCTTCGGTGTCATTTCTCAATCACTTACCATTCCAGAGTTTACATTTGTTTCTTCACTCCTGTCTCCATGACTAGTCATGCCACAGTTACTAAGCTTTCCAAGCTTTTGGTGTTGTGGGGCTGAGAAAAAAATGTATTCAAACACAGTAACAATAATGTAGATTTCAATATCTGAAATTGAGTAAGTTGGGTTTTTTAACTCTGATTCTCTTAAAAAAAAAAAAAAAAAAAAAAAAAAAAAAAGAAAATATGATGTCCAATTTTAGTGATAAGTTTAAGAAAGGGAGGGAGTGCAACTGGACACTACTGGAGCAAGAACTCTTCCCGTCCCCTGGTTTCCCTCCACACTCAAGTAAAAAGTTTCTATGAGTGATTTGTCATTGCATTTTTCTAACTGATAAAGATAGATAATGACTGAGATTGAAGGTAGATTCCCCAATCTCTTTCTGTTCATACTGCTTTATATGTGAGGAAAGCATGAAACTGAACATGGCAAAATTTGTTGTTTAAAGTGCTATCTGCTGCAACAGCATATTTTCCTTATGCTGTTACTTCATAGCATCCTCAGAAGCGAAAACAAATATCTGAGGAACGGGTAAAAGTTTTTTGCAGATTTTCATAATGCTGCTTTACAAATACCTATGTGCTTCAAAGTACCTCAAATCTTTTGTTCTATGCAATTCACATTTAGGGTAAGAACTCGTCCAGACTTCTGGGCATGTGTAGTAAAAAGCTTTGAGCTCTACTTAGGCCATAGAGCCAGGACAATATCTCTTAAAAAAAAAAATAAAAAAAAAATTGTCATTAATATATTGTATGTTAATGTGACTATAAATGTCCTTATTTCAAGGAGGAAACAAATCGGCTTCTGAAAGCCATTGAAGAGGCAAATAAGAAGATGCAGATTACAGAAACAAGCATACAGGAAAAAGACCAGAGAATTGGTGAGCTGGACCGGCTGATTGAACGCATGGAAGAGGTATGAGAGTTAGTTGATTGCTGCCTTTAAAGGAAATGCAGAAGTGCATCTTAGTTATTGTATCCGTATAAGTAAATGGACCTGGACTGCCCTAGAGACACTGATTAAGTGGTTCTTTTATCTTTCTAGTGTCAGGGTTGCCTAAGCTGTAAAAATTTATTTAGTAAAAAAACCATTATTTTAAAGAAAGGGTTTAAAAAGACCATTCAGTCTTCCTTCAGTGTGCAAGGTCTCCTAAGCTTAATGAATTAGTAATCATAAATGATCCAAAGTCTCTTAGAAATGTTGTTGGTAGGTCCACTAAAATGTGGTTTAGTTAGGAATAGACCTTACTATTTAACTATTTATCGTCCCAGTTGGAATTTTATCTCCAGATTTCTCCACATATGGATGAAATGCTAAACTGAAAGCTTCAAACTAAATTTTTTTTTTTGTGGATATGTAGCAGCCACTTAATCTTCCATGCAGATGTCTATCTTGTTTAGATTATGGCTCAGAACATTTTGAGGATAGAAGAAAAAATCATTTTTAGGGCCTTTTATTCCAAACTTAAGTTCTTCCTTTCCTGCTAGCATTAAAAAAATTAATTATTCCTCTCCCTGGCTAAATATTCCGTACCAAATTGTAATTGAGAGCAGTTTTTGACAATTTACTTTTAAAGCTCTGAAAGCAAAAATGCTTTGAGACATTTACCTCTTGTGACATTGGCAGCACTACTGGAAAACTAGTTGTAGCAGGTTTTGCATTGCTTCTTTTTATTTCCTGCTTTTCCTCCTCCTTTTTTATGAACTTCAGGGCAAAACTCAGACTAGTGGTCAGATGGTTATTATTTTAATGTATTGTTAAGTCTAAGAGTATCACAGTACCCTTCTTTTCATAGTACACTGCATCTCAATCTCATCTGTTGAGCCTTTTCAGATGTCTGAAATAGTTTTATATCTTCTGTCTCAGACAATTACAGTGAAATTTCCTCTTCATTTTCTGATATCATTCACGTAACTCAGAATTAATGTTAGTGTTTCATATTTAGACTGAATAGTGTCACTCTAAACAGTGTAAGAGCAGCCCTTCCAAAAGACTCATGCTCTTGGATGTACTTTGGCATTTCTCGTTTTATTCAATAGCAGGCATCTCATTATCTTTAAAGATCTGTGCCTTGCTATCTAAAATACAGAATCAGAGAGCATTCTAGTAAGTCGAGGGAACATGATCTTCTGTTCTTATAAGTGAATTGTTTTTTCACCAATTTTAGTGTAGTATAGTAAATATTTGTTACTGAGAAATAGATCTTCATAAGCCAGTCTTGCTGGCTTGAGTGGTTAGTCTAATGCACAGTTGTATTGAGCCCCCTTTGTCTAATGCTTGCAAATCTATTAGTAGAATTAGTGATTACACAGAGAAATCATTCAACTTAATATGCCCCTTTAGTAGCTCCATGAACATCATCTGGGCTTCAGCCTACAACTTTTAAGCATTATGCAGTGAATAGAAGATTGCAGTATAGTTCTTAATAACAGGTTAGTTTCTTCATGTTGATTATTTAATTTGCTCTTATCTCGCTGATACTTGCAGAGTAAAACTGAATGGCTCTGTTAAATTCCCATTAAAGTGGACAGCAGACTCCTCTGTTAATTTGTGTGAACTCTGTCTCCAAGTCCTCATAGATCTTAACAAGCACTGTGCTGGTGGACACAAAAAATAAACAGGAAGCTTTTGAGGAAGAAAATAGAGCAACACCTTTTATCTCAGCCTTGAATTGAGAGATCTTTTTGGAGGGATAACATGGAAAATCTGACATTTATGTAATAAAATCATGTAGTTAAAGATTGTGATGACTCATCTTTTTATTAAAAAAATTCAGTTTCAAGTATAACTATACAACTTCAAATAGGAAATTGAAAACTAATCTTACTTCTATGCATATCTGGGAATTTGATTTTATTATTACGCATGCTGTGCTCCTTGGCTATAGGAAATTAGTTAATTTTGTTTAATGGGTTTCTATTTTAATTTCGAAAATGAGCTTTTGAATTGTAATGAAATATACTTTGTGAAACCTTCACATTTTTGCATTTCTTGCTCAGGAACGTCACCAGCTGCAAAAACAACTCGAACTAAATGAAATACAAATATCTGGAGCAAAATCTGAAAACAACTCTGACATTGAAAGGTGAGATATGTCTTCTCTCTGGAACTTCTAGTATTGTTAGGAAACTTTAAGGGTTGTTTTGTTTGTTTTTGAAGACACCTGAATTTTACTTTTTCTAACTTTAAAACTGCAGTTTGGTAGGGATTGTGCATCTGAATGTAAGTTTATTTACAAATAAATTATCAAGAGGATGAACTTCTGCATCTCTCTTGAAAAGTTGTTTGCAAACAGGGAGGGTATGTTTTAGATGGCACAAATTGTGTTGTAATTGTGGGTTGCTTTTCATTTTTAAATCTACGTTCCCAAATTCAGCACAGCATGATTCTGACTATGAATACTTTCATTATCTCCTTCTAGACTGCTCAACACAGTTTTAAAATAAAAGATCCTCTGTATCCTGTATTAAGCTGTAGGATATCCCCTTTGAAAAGATGAATTCTGGAAGAGAGCAAGAGTTTTGCATATAACTGCCAGAGGTGTCTTTTTTGTATAAAAGAAGGAAGGCAGGGAATATATTTGAGGCTTGGAGGGGCAGGTCTACGCATGTGGTGCACACTAACACATACACGTGACCAAAATGAAGGTGTGGAAGAAATCTGTTGTGTATCATCACAGTGCAGAAATAAGCTATGAAGTTATTTGGGGAAAGTGAGGGTGATGTTATTGGCAGTGAGGCCTCTGTGAATAGTTATTTTCAAAAGCATGATGCTTAGAAGAAAGATCTAGTGGTGTGGTGGCACCTGGATGTAGTGTTTCTGCCCACAGGTGGCCAGTGCATCCATTACTACTTCTTTGAGACTGACAGAGCACTGTGACCAGGCAAAAGAAAGCTTCAAGCAAAGACAGAGGCAAAGTTTCAAGAGAAATGTATCCAGCACTGAAATAGCGTAACTGCCATTGGAGTGAAAACTGCATCTGCCACGGTTTATATGACACTACTTGAGTGGCTAAAGATGAGTTATAAGCAGAGACTATGTAATTGTACTTGATTACTACTTGTATTTCTGTGGCACCTAGAAGTTCACTTTTAAGGTTGTGGCATCCCACTGTTCTGTGGGAAGCATAAACATAAAAGGAGATCCCTGCTGAAAGCATCTCACTGCCTAGTTGTATTGATCTGTGACCAGTTTATCTGGTTTCAGGGTAATAATGGCTTTTCACAGCAGCCTTTAAAAATAATAATTTAAAGTGAACGGATGTCACATGCAAAATCTAATATGGAGGTGAAAGGTTCTTCCTTTACCTCTGGATAACAGATACTCTTCTCACTTCAGTGAATCCTACTCTGTCCATTCAGCATGAAATGTTACCTTGCAGTGAAAAGGGTTAAGGCAGCGTTCAGACAGGAATTCGTGCAATGCAAGCACAGTTGCAGTCTGTGCAATGTAAGCAGTGAGTCTGTGTTCAGATGCTGAAATCTGTTCTTACGTTCTTTTTACCTTTCTGCACCTGACCAGACAATTGAGCTCCACGTGAGCAAAGACTCCTGTTCCATTTCTTCATTGCTATCAGTGCTTAAAATTCTGAATCTTTCAATGAGAGACCAAATACATGTTTAAATTGCAATCAAAATGTAAATTGAGGTTTTGTGAGACTTTAATATGAAGAATTGAAAAACCTGCAGATATGCCTGGATTTTTTGGGTCTTTGTCACAAAGTGCTGCAGTTACAGTTCTGTAGAGTACTTTACTCTTAATAGAGACTCTTTCTGGGGGGAAGCAGCATACAATTCAGTCATTCATTGGAGTCATGTCATACAGTTTGCCATCTGCTGCTTTGCCTTAGAATGGTTGTTCTATTTGCAGCTTCAACAGTTTCTTCTGCTGTGCACAGGCCAAAATGAAAAAAGCTTTTTTGTTTCTGATTCCTCTCCTCCATTTCTCAAATTCTGTCCAGTTCTGAACCTAGGAGTACAGTTTATTTTGTAAGCAAATGGTTGCTTTCTTTGAATAATGTCAAGAATTGCACATTCAAACAAAAATGGAGGCTCCCATGCTAAAAACTTATTAAAAAGCTTCCCCACCGTTTCTTTGCGTATTTTAAAACTACTTTTCTGGCAAGCTTTCAATCCAACTTGTGGCAGGAGTTCCATGGGTGTTCAATTTCTGTGTTAAACAGTTTTGAAGAAATGCAAAATCTATCTAAAGGGTCATACATATGAACTTAAAACATCTGCAACAATTCCTAATGTTGATGAGTTAGTACTCCTCTAGTTAGCAGTCTACTACTGTTGGCAAATGTACTGAATCATTGACTCAAGGCTTCCCTGTAGTAGGAGAGCTTTTAAAAGGAAACCAACAGATGTGCTTCCTGGCTTTTATTTAGTATATATTTCCAAATAGTTTGTAGGTGGTAATAAGTCAGGATACTATGTCTTTCTGTTTATAAAGATCTAGTTGTCTAAATGCCTTTCATTTCAAGGAAAAACAAACATCTTAAGGAGATGAGCTTTGTCACATTGTTTAATTGTCAGCACTTCAGGCTCTGAGTAAGCATGCCAGTATGCAAGACAAAGGTGAGTTAACTTGGGTGGAGGCAGCCACTTGGACTAAAAGACTATCATTAAAGTGTACTTTAGACAAATTCACATCTGTCAGTGGAATTTGACTTGCCTGCCTCTTGACCTGGTCTTCCTGATTTATGGTGGGATTGTGGGGGTGGTTCTTGTTTTGCTTAGACTGCATAGCTCCCCACTTACATGCTTAATTCTTCCATGTCCTGCTAGGTCACAGCATTTGGAAGAGGTAGCAGCTAGCCTAAGAGAGCGAATCAAACATCTAGATGATATGGTCCACTGCCAACAGAAGAAAGTCAAGCACATGGTTGAGGAGGTGAGATCTAGTACAATTTTGAGTCTTTTGGAATTCTTTTAGTACATAATCCGAAGAGAGTTCTGTTCTGTGTGCCGTTTCCTCATGCCACTTTAGTTACAAACACAGTGGAAGATGAGTTAAGCATCTGGAGCTAGTGAAGCAGAGAGATTAGGTGAAGGCAGTTTAATCCAGTGGCTGTGGGTGATATACGTTGATCTTTAGGCAGACACTAATTCTGGAACTCTTCATGGCAGTTCAGGAAATACAACATACAACTTCCAACTTCATTTGGAGGGCAACTACAGAAACAATGCATTGAGCGTCTCCTTTTATAGAAGTGGAAGGTAAAAACTGACCTTTATTTTTTTAATATGTGGTTCCTCACAGAAATAGGGGGCAAACACAGTTTTTTCACCACTCATCTTTTTTACCCTGGTCTTGGGACATGATCTTAGCTGATGTAATTTCCTGTTTAAATTTTACGTGGCTTTCTGCTGGAAAGCTGCTTTAAGTTACAGGCTACCTACATACCAAGAAACTGTTCAGCAGTCAGAAGGCTGTGATTGCAGACATTTCTGTTTCTCCAAGTGGATGAAAGAATGACATGGGAAATAGGTAAATTAAGTTTAAATTAGAGCTTTACAAAGCAGATTGACAGCACTGTTACACTTAGCCTTGCTATTGTACAGAGGATAGGGACTAATTAAATACCTTTTATTTGTATTTGAACTCCATGCATTCTCAAAATCAAATGTCTGAAAACCATTCTAACCTAAGGCATTATTTCTGCATTCACAATGTCCTATAGGATTTCTGATTAGACGTGGAGTTTTTCCATTTTGACCAAGGTGGTATTTTTATATATACATAACACCTATATTTTTATATATATATATATATTTACCTATATCTATTTTGTTTTATAAGATTCTGACGTAGTCTTGCTCTGTGATCAGATGTGTGATGCTAGGTGTCTTTTACACAGAGGCATGCAAAAGTATCTATCTCTTTGCATTAAAGTTCTTCTGTCATATCATCAGTATAGAAGGTTGGTATAAAGCCTTAAGGTTTTGTTTCTTGTTCAGCTTGCCGTTTTCACTATTTTCAAGCATCATAGCAGGTGCTCTAAAACTGAGCTAACAATATTTATACCATGGTATTCTCTGAAGGAAAACTTCTCCAATCTTTTCATACAGTCCATCTAATTAATGGATTATGGGAACAAGCCAGCCAGCATATTATGAGCTTTTTTTGTTCTGACCAGAAGTTTTAAAGGACTTGTCACTTTGTGATACATGTGGCAACCCAGATGATTCTAGTAATGTATAAGAGGATGGTGGCCTAAACTTTGCCCTTTAGATATATTTTAAACTGTTTGATGTATCTTGACCTCTAGTGGACTGCATTGGTATAACAAATACTTGCAGTTCCAAGGGGATGTTTTGGCAAAAACATGTATAAAGCTAGGGCCAATTATTATTATTTCATAAATATTAGGTTTAATGGGTGTTTAGCTTGCTAATTCCTTGTAATGTGTGTTTTCTGGTGCCTTCATATACACAGAAAGCCCTGCTAGATCTTTTGGTTATACTATTTAACAAGTAGAATGTTAGATGACCAACTCCCTACCTAACTGTCAAATATGTCTATTTTTAATTGATGTCTGACTACCTGCTTTTCAAAATCAATTAAATCTCTTTACAAATCCTTGACTGCCATGTAGCCACAGGGAATATACTTTTGCTCTCTCCTTTAGTCCTTGTGTGTTTTAGTTTTTCTTTTCATTCAGTTTCCTTGAGAACTGCATGAATACCTGCAGCTACATCTGTATTTTCACTAGTGAGCTAACTAAAAACTCCTGTAATAGAGGTTTGATGATCAGGTCAGATGGTACCAAGTACATTAGGCACTTAATGTTTTTTTTAATTTTGTGCTATCCGTGGTTTGTGTTTGAGGAAATACCTACAATATAGTTGGCATGCACTGTTTTAAACTGGGCTCTTTTAATTAAATGGCTAAAAGTAGCAGCTTTAATAGTACAGAGAAGAGTAGCTGTCCACCATGGGGAAGATAAAAAGCACTGCAGATGTGTACGCCCTGAGCTATCCACGCATGTGGCATTTTTCTTGATTTTGTGCTCTTCTCTACATAAATACTAGAAAAGTATTTTTAGGCTCACTTTAAGCAACACTTACCAACTGTGCTATAGAAGCTGAGGAATCGGCAACAAAAATACTTCTCAAAAAGTAGACTTAAATGAATGCTATCTGAAGAGACTGTTCTGGAGTTAAGTTAAAAACTAGTGAGTAGCAGCACTAAACATACTTTCTAGAGTAAACAGGGAAGATTTTGTAATTACGCTACCATTTAAGTCTCGGAAAATTTGTTTATCAGGGTATATTTGAATGCACATCCTCTCTGCATTAAGTTTAACCAAATGCAGAATGTAATACCTAGGAATATCTAGAAAAGTCTCATGAAAACCTGCCATGTTACTCATTACTGCAATACTTTCATGGCTGTTAGCTGTAAAATAACATTCCATCTTAGGGTTTATGAGGGTATTATAATTATCAATAACTTGCATTTAAATAATATAATTGAGAAAGAAAGAATGATCAAAGCAGCTAGAAAGCCTGCTTTCTGAAACACTTAGCTTCTCTTTTGCATGAGAGTAGGCTGAGAACAGGCTAACCTGGGAAACTCAGAAGTGGGGGAAAAAAGTAAATATTAAAAATTATCTGCAATGCTTTTGTTAGAAGTTGAAACAAAGCTACTGTATGAACTAGGTGAGAATGATGGCTAAGCCTATGCTTGCTTGACTTCAGGATGAGCTTCTTTTAGTATTAATCTTGGTATATTTGGACACATATCTGAAGTATAAATGAGCGGTTATTCTTTCAGTGTAAACCACAATGGATTTACGCTGTTATCATCTCCAATTTAGACAAAGTGCAGCTACAGAAATTAACATCATTTCAAAGGGGTGCTGAACAAACAAGATACACTGCTTCAAACTTATATGGAGAACTGTCAAAATTAAACAAGTGCTGAGATGAATCTGCTGGCTGAAAAAAATCACAAAATAGATTGCTTTTCAGGCCTTTTTAGGGAAAGATGACGGATCATTTGCAAGTAACAGATACAGGGCATTCTGTAAAAGAACAGCAAGCAGTCAGGAGGAAGTGAAAGAGAACCTTTGTGGTGGAGTTTTGTGATGTAGTAGGCAGCTCTAACCCCTCCAGTGCTGTTTTGATGGCATTTAAAAATGTGTTAGGAGGCTGTGGTCAGTCCTAATCCAGGCATGCATGAAAGGGGGTGCTGGCAGAGAAGCACCGAATGTAGGAGGCCATGAAGGAAAAGAGTATTAAAGCCATCCTTTCACAGGACCCATCTTACTGGTACTGAGTGCAGTAGATAGATGACCTGTGGAATTGAGCCCAGGCACAGATGGACAATCACAGTTCAGTGTGCTTATACTCCTTAGCGAAGACATTGTTCAATTTTTTTTCTTGGAAAATAAATCCTTCCATCTCAGGCATTATAGAACCTTTTTCAACTTGACCTATTCAGACCAGACATAAATTAAATAGGAGCATGGAAAATAACTTTCAGAAGAAAATAAATGAAAGAAATAAAATGGAAGTTTGCTGGAGTCAGTGGCCTTCAACATCTCTGTGCGTTTGATCCCACACACATGCATTTTTCAGCTTCATAGTGATTCTCTGCTATGAGAGCCAAGATCGCAGCCCATTAGAGCACCAGCTGAACAGAAAGTTTTCCTGCATATTCTTAAAGCTTCATGTTCTTGTTAGAGAGAGATTACAGGTAATTTAAGGCTGACAGATTTATCCCTGTGTTGAACTTATTTGTTAACTAAATCTATTTGTTCCCAGCTTAGTGTGGTACATTTTACATGAAGTGCTGGCAGTTGAAAGTGCAGGACCTGCATTTGGCAAGTGTGTAGAAACCCAGCCCTTTTCTCATACTATTTGTACACAGCAGGCTTTCAAAAAAAGAGTGAGAAGAGACAGGTGGCCAGAGCGGGTCAGCCAGAGCTCAGTGGTGAAATGTGAACATTAATAATGGTAGACTCCATTAGCTTCCCCTCCTCCCCGCTCCTCTTCCCATCTTAAAGTATGGCTGTGCAGAGAGAGACTTTCAAAGACAGTCCAGGCAAAAGACCGTTCAATCAGAGGTAGAATTTGCAGGAAAAAAAAGTATTTTCTGACTTGATCTCCATTTCAAACCTGCAGAGATTTAAAAGAGCTTTAGTTTTGAGATTTGTGCAGTTGACATTGAAATGGATTGCAGTTTCATGGCACAGCAAGCTTATTTTGTATGTAATACTGTTTTATTGTTGAGAAGCAGGAGAGGGAAGTAAATAGGCATTTACATTTTACAAGCAAGGCGAGTGGGTTGATGCAGATACAGGGAGCTGTTCCGAAGGGGACCGAGAAAATAAAAGGATATTTGATTCCATGCTAAGAAATTGTCTACAGAACTCAGATTTCACATGAAATTCCCCTAACTACTGAATTGAACTGTCTCTAGGTCATGGCCCATGAGCTGTTCTCCAGCTTTAGTCTCAGATTCGTTGGATAATAAATGGTGACCACACACCAGGGAGAAGCTGTATCCTGTTCTGTTGTGGAAGATACTTGCATGAAAGGACAAAGTGCTAATGAGCAAATGATATACCAAATACAGAAGATACTTTGTATTGCACAAATGGGGAACAAAGAAGAAATTTTCCCACTGAAGACTTAATAACCAGTTGAAAACTTGTGTATCAAGATACTCCAACTACAGATATATTGCAAAATATCTCAGTTTTAATATGGAAGTACAGTTTCAATTTTAGATTAAGTAAAAGAAGCCACACAGAAGCATAGAGGATGAGAAGATGGAATTGCCAGCCACAGACAGATGCCAAATTTTTTACTAACCAAAATCTACATTGCATAGTACCTACAGTAAAAGCAAACCACCACCACCAAAACATACAACAACAAATGCAGAAAGAGAAACCACCTTGGGAGCTTGGAGGAAGGCGATAAATGGCAGAACATAAATAACTCTCCACCCCCCCCAATTTAAGTGTTTGGCATGCCTCAGTGGACTTGAGCAATGCAGTACATTGCTTATCTGTTGGCAGAAGTAGAATCACTGCTGGTCTTTGGGGAGAGTGTTTGTACACGCATAGCAGTAGCTCTTTCAGCTGTGAATTGCCTGGCCAAATCATTAATTAGAAAACTTGCACATTACTAAGGTAGCTCTTAATAAGGTGGGTTGAACTGTTAAGACAGTGTGCCAATGTTTATAACTTGTTAGGACATCTAGGCCCTGTGGGCCTGCTTTAGCAATTGATGTACATCAAAGACTGGTGTAATGTGTCCATACAGCTCCTTAGTTTAGGAAGGTCTCTGACTTGGTACATTAACTTAAATCAATCAGTTGTTACTCTTTCTTTAAATATGAGTTTTAAAATACAAAAAGTATTGAGGCATTGCCCAAGTGATTTAAGGAGGATTAAAAGTCAAAGGTTCTCATTCCTACTTACTGTATTATGTTCCCTGAAAAAATTTCAACACTCTTGTCTAGCCTCTGATAAATACTACTTAAGGTCCGGTGGAATAATTGGACTCAGTAAAATCTTGTTCTCCTTGAACCTCATAGAGTTCAGGCTGATGTTGCAATGTCTTGTCTGTCTTGTTTTGTATCGTATAGTATATGTTTGTCCTTTGTTTATTTATTACCATTTTGTTCATGTCTCTGTATCAGTGCTACAGATGCCCAATCCATTAATAATAGATGAATAAGAAAAATACATGATATCTGAATAATATATAATACTTAAATACAATAACACTGTCATGTTCTGATAAATATTTTAAATGAATGGACGATAATATCAAGTGGTAGGTGCTGACTGAGTTTACCTAACAGATAGATCTGTTCCAATCCAATAGATCACTGTATATTTCAAGGCTCCAGAACTATGTCTGAGTACACAGAATAAAATAAGTTTACTCTTTCAGACTTTCTTTATAAAGGCTCTGCAATTGGACACAACTTTAATTCTCTCTTAAGATGCTTTTTTCTTTCTGCTTTAATTGCTTTGTAATTCTGTTGACTTCCCTTCTAATATCACTATTCACATCTCCAGCATTTCTTTAGGGATGCTTTTTTTAAGGTCTTGTGATTCTCCTCTTGACTGTTCTTCTTAGGTGTTCTATCCATGAGATCAATTCAATGTTGTTAACTCTTACATCTAGCTTTCCATCTTACTAAAGCAAAGTTTAGTTGCTTGGTGTAGAGCAAGAGAAATTCAGAAGTGCATCTCTTCCTAGAAAGTATTTACACAGTCCATTCAAGCAGCATGACAATTTTCTTTGGTATTTGAAGAGATGTGGGCCGGTGCTAACCTCATGAAGT